AGGAAGCGAAGACTGGTCCAGGCACGGGACCTGCCACGCCCTCCCGCAGGGAGATAGAGACTGGGAAAGATGCCCATGAAGGATTTAAAGAAGCCCCCACTAGTAACTCAGAAGACATGAACAACATCGTGGTGGCGAGGGGTCCTCAACGCCGGAGTGGCGCGAAGAGACGGATAGCTTCGCCTGCCCGGACGGCAAACTGGTCAAAGCCAGAGAGATCGGACACCACCCTTGCCTTGTAGAGTCATGCCATCTTAACGTGGGGCTAGGCTATAAAAACACGTAGCATATATCAAAGACGATACAAACACGTCTGCGACCTGCCCTGCCGCGCAGCACCAACATATCGGAAGCTGAGGGTTGAGAAGACCGTGGCAAGCGTAACTGCGCACCACCCTGGCCAAAGTAAACGTCACAAGTCCCTGGATGTCAGTGGCGGCCGACGCGCCGTGACGGTGCGTATGTTTCGGGCGACACACTGATCCTCGGGCGAGGCCATGGGCGCGGTGCTGGCCATGTACTGGGGGACGACAAATTTACTGAATTTGAGGAGATTCTGCAGACACGGAGGGTGGCAGGCTGGCGAAACTTGGCATCGAAGTCAACCGAAAGCAGGGATCAGGCGGTACTCAGGTTTTTCAATGGTCAGGTATTGGTCAAACGTTTTTTAAAGCTTTTGACATTAATCGTCAATCTTGGTCAACTGCAAAGAAAGTTCAAAAATTCAACATTTTCGGTGCATGCATGTCGGCCGAAACCTGCATTTTTGATACCAAACTTTTCAACATGGCTCTTGGCAACATGGCAATATGGCAAGACAGATACAGAGCTAAAAAGAAGAAATGTGCATCATTTCATGTAAGTCAGCTTTCCATGATTGTGGCTGATGAGGTATCGCCCTTTAAACTTGAACACATCAACAAGGTGACCATCGAAATATTTCAAGTGCCGCACGTAACGCCTTGGAGAAGCTAACTCACGCCCGGGTGGCCGTTTGGATACCCTTCGCTCAGGTGGAGGTCAATTTGACCCTCCTGAGATCTCAGGAACTAAAAGAGCTAGAAACACAAATTTCACAGGGTGTGCTGGCCTGTGCGTAAAGTAACATAGATCAATTTTTGGTTTTTAGGCTATGACCTTCGGGTCAAACAAGGTCAAACGGGCTGAAACGGGCTGACAGGCCCTCCCGGCGCGGTTCCAGCTCCCAGTGCAGGTGACCACCCGAGGCCAGTGCTCACGACCGCCCGAGGCCAGTGCTGACGATCGCCCGAGGCCAGTGCTGACGATCGCCCGAGGCCAGTGCTGACGATCGCCCGAGGCCAGTGCTGACGATCGTCCGAGGCCAGTGCTGATGACCGCCCGAGGCCAGTGCTGATGATCGCCCGAGGCCAGTGCTGACGATCGCCCGAGGCCAGTGCTGACGATCGTCCGAGGCCAGTGTTGATGACCGCCCGAAGCCAGTGCAGTACGGCACTCGGACATGAGCTGCTTTTCTGCATCGGCGACTGGAGGTGACGATGCATTGCAGACTTGGATTTTGGTAATGTGCAAAAGGGCACGAGCATTCTTCATTTCATTGTGAGGGCATTTAAAACGTGGAACACTCCCTTTAATAACATAACCTCCCTAATGATTTCACCAGCCCGATTCTACGGATTCAGCCAGACGCTAACAGCGTGAGGAAAATAAAGAGTCGTGCCTTTAGCAGCTGATGCAAGGGAAAGACCCAGTTACCACTGTCCTTGCTTGCACGTCAAAATAGGGCAAACTGCCCGCCATTAGCAGCGGCAGCGCGAGCACACAGATTCAAGGCTAACGATCCGCAAACTCAGGTGCGAGCCGGCGAGTAAACGAACGGCGAGTATGCGGGGAAGTAGCATACGAGCGCACCTGGCTGTCGGCGTTCCCACTGAGGTGGAGTTGACCCTAGGATCGATCCTGCGTGTGACTAAGTGCCATATTTTGGGCCACGTTGGTGGTTGTGCAACAACGTTTGTTCTGCTAAAACCGCGTCAAAGTGCCAACGCGGTGAACGAATCCGAACCTTCTCGAAACAAACAGGGAGACGAGACCAGATTTCTGCCATGTGAATGTTTCGCGGGTTTCAACGCCTTAATAGGGTTTTTCGTCACTTAACGCCGCAATTAGGGGGTGCGTGGAGAAAACGTGGGGGTACAAGGAATCCCAAAAGAGACACAAGGCTCCAACTATTGCGGTGAAGTTATGCCTTGTGTCGAAACCACCCGTATGACGATATGAAGCGGTGCACTGTGTGCAGTGCCACACTCATACCTACCTTACTAGACAAAAAACGCAGGGGATCGAACAAAAAAGTATCGGGCACAAATAGCTGACAGCAAAATATCGGCAGCGGTTAAGCTGACCGAGAAATGTGGAAATGAAAAATGATCGAATGGCCAGACACCGACAGCCAAAATATCCCCAGAGACAAACCACGAAATGGAAATGAATCGCTTGGCAGAGTATGGACGAAAAACATATGAACGGTTTTGACATGGAACTGAAAGCCATGGAATAGAAAATATTAAGAACAGCAGGAAATAAAATATCGACACGTATAAATACTGACACAGAAAATAAAAAAACAGCATCAAAATATCCATAGAATAAAGATTGATACCAGCAAATACGAAAAGGCAAAGGATCGCACGGTAGCATTGTGGCCCGGTATTGACCGAGGGTCAGATCTACCATCTTGCTCAATATTCCCAGTGATTCAAAAATGTCCTGAGATATCGCTGCGAAATTTTTAAAGGCTGTCAATCGATAAGTTGTACGCCTTGTGCCAAAACAACAACTATGAGACAATAAAAGATCAAGTGTCAGAGCGACATCATATCTCCCCTTTCTTGCAAAAGTGCATAGCCGTAGAAAAATTAACACAAAACCGAACGAAAGATCATATTTGATGCCTGTGCATGAGAGATGTTAGTCAATTGATCCCGTCATTCATATGCCTTGTTGCGTCTTTTCAATATTGCACATTGAAATACTCGCACGCCAAATACCAAAAATATTGATGAAAAGTATTCAACATTTTTGGTTTGAAGCTCAAAACTATGAGAACATGAGAGATAGATGTCATAAACGTGACTATGCCGGATGCCTGTACCAAGTTTAAAGCAATTATCTGTAACGATGACCGAGTTCTAGCTTGGAATGCATCCCAGCACATGTTGCCCCGTGCCCAGGTGGGTCCGGGCCCGCAGCGGCGGCGGCGGGGCTCAGGCCTGCTGCAGTGCCGCGGTGACCGGGCGGCGGGGGCCGTCTGTTAGCTTCGCAACCGAGCCGACGGCTACGTGACTGGCAGGATGGCAGGCTGCGCTCTTGGCAGTACTGGTCCATCGCAAACAATGAGAAAATCGATCCAACCACTTATTCACCACCAAGGTAATGCATTTGAACTCTGAGACTGCTTATGACGAAGTAGGAGCTTTTGCGCATGTCTCATGCCCATAGCTGCGGCTAAACCCTTCCACTTTGCGTTTAGATGATTGTAATATGATGGAAATAAATAGACTGAAGTAGACGTACAGCCCAATGCTTCAGCTTATATTTGCACGGCAAATGACCTTGGTCCTCGGCCCGCTGCGGCGCACGTAGCATTAGATACCTTCCTACGCAGCATGTGTGATCAGGGCGTGATGATTCCACATCATGCGATACGCCTCGGGTGAAATGCGTTGTGAGAGCGGTCAGATACTCTTAAGTATATTTTTATATTATGCCCTTCACCTCTGACCTGATAAAGACTTAAACTTAAGATTGTTGTGTGGCCTGAACCTGTACACCACGGCGTTATCGATTGTGCTGTGAATTTCTTAATTCGGCCCGGCCGTTCTTGAAATAATCAGGGAGCCCAAATTTGCTGCTTTCCGGTTAATGGTGTGCCGCTAAGGAGCCCGGTCAGTGCCAGGTTAATGATGTGCCGCTGAGGAGCCCGGTCAATGCCAGGTTACTGGTGTGCCGCTGAGGAGCCCGGTCAATGCCAGGTTAATGGTGTGCCGCTGAGGAGCCCGGGCAATGCCAGCTTAAATACTCCAGGCTAAATGACTGCATGATCATACGGGACTGACCGATTTCATGCGGTAAATGGTCAAAATCAGCGGGCATGCGGTGCGTCTTGCGAGCCAACAACAAGCGCATAACTACGTCAAATGTTTCTATTCGTACACTGAATTGTTGTGCTACGTCAGACAAGGGTAAGGCAGTCAGGTTCGGTTGGAGTGGGTGGTCTTACTGGCGGAATTATAGAAGTCATGTCATGGATGTTTGGGTCATGCACAAATGCCTAGTCAGCCCCGACGTCTTTTAGCGTTAGCGTCAAAATTGGGTTTTCCATTTCACTGGAGCATGTATTTCGATATCTGTCCTGTTGATATTTCATCATTCGCTCGCGACCATTTTCCATTGCGTTGCATAGCGCTGCCGCTAATCCTCCGCTGGCATTTTTGCCGGCGATTAGCGTTAGGCTTTTGTTCATCTATTTATGAATCATTCGACATGATGAGAGGCATAATTCATTGTCCGGATGAGCAGTGGTAAACACGAGTGTGCCCAGCAGATCACGTGTTACCATTCTCTAACAACAAATCATACGGTCCTGTTCTCCAGTCAGCATCACAGCGCACCGTCCGCCGGAGGGCGACGGCCTAAGGCTTTTCCACCCAACGTCGGCAGACCTTCCATCCGCGCGGGCAGACCCTGCTGATGCGTTATACAGCACGATGTTCGTTAGGACTAACAACGGATTGGGTGACTGCGATCTTGTCTTTACCCCGGAAACTGCAATTTCAAAACACATTTACAGGCATTTATACCAATTTGAATACATCTATTTGTTTTTGGGCTGGAAGTATGTGTTGTACGTAGGTACACTTGCAACTGCTACATGAGGAACCAACGAGACAGATTAGACCAACCGTTGTAAATTAGACCTACCCCTATCCCTACGAATTCTGCCTGTCAGAAAGAACAGCTCATCAAAAATACTGTATTTTGTGTTAAGCATATCTGCCGGGCTGAAAGACGTCAATGCGCACGGTAGAACATGTAGGAATCGTAAAAGCTGCACTTTACTTAAGTCATCAACCGGTATCATAACTAAAACCAGTGGCACAAGCGTAGTAACTGAGAAATCAGCACCACTTCTTCACAGGATCATTGGAAACCCATGACATGATTGAAAAACTTACAATAATATCCACGACAAAGATGCCAAGGAATGCAAAATCATCGACGGTCGGTTATAAAGATATGAATCAAAGGAATCGCTCCTGGCCGCAGCGAGGTCACAGGAGCGCCGCGCCGCTCCCACCGTCAGATGTACCACGTCCACCCGACACGGCGGACAACGCGCTCGGCGGTCAGGCCAAGTCAGCGGAGGCGCCTCAGGCGGGCTGGCCAGGTCAGCGGAGGCGCCTCAGGCGGGCTGGCCAGGCCAGCGGAGGCGCCTCACGCGGGCTGGCCAGGTCAGCGGCGGCGGCTCAGGCGGGCTGGCCAGGTCAGCGGAGGCGCCTCACGCGGGCTGGCCAGGTCAGCGGAGGCGCCTCACGCGGGCTGGCCAGGTCAGCGGAGGCGCCTCACGCGGGCTGGCCAGGTCAGCGGAGGCGGCTCAGGCGGGCTGGCCGCACTCCTTCTTAGAAACCTCGCGATGGCTGCGGTACGGCACGTCGTACACCACCACCTTGCAGTGCTGTCGGACGAGAGCGGTATGAGTGACTGTGACAGGCCCGTCACCGAATCCTGTCCGAATCACACCGCCGCTGGAAGCGCTGTGCCCGGCTATGCCGGACCGATGCGAGCCGGTCCACCCAGCCGGCACACGGACCATCAGCCGCCCAAACAAGCTACGCACACGATAATCTGCTTTACGCTGGCCCGTCACGCGGGCCGTGCAGGGACCGTGCAGTCCGTGACTGACGGCATTTCGCAGGGCCTTTAATTGTTTATTCGAACAGTGTGTAAAATATGGAATATTTCTGTCATTTTTCTGTCTGTCACCCTGACAATGCGCAGCATGTGTTAGAGTACAGGCGTCATCTGATCCAACAGTCTGGAGAGCGGGGGAGGGCCTGCAGCACTGACCACGGTGCGCGGCTGGTCGAGGGGTGGGCATGCCAGCCCCTGCTGGCCAGCACTTCTCATCACAGCCTGTCTCCACCAGTGTCAGCTCCATCTTGTAGTTCTTGCCAGCCACAATCTGCAGACAGACATGCCCACCCACCATGCCACTCAGGCTTACCAACACACAGCACTCCCACATGACCTGCTGCAGGCATGACTGGTCATCAAGGTGCTTACAAGCATGGGTTCAGTGTCTGCCAGGCATTCTGGTTAAAACAAAGTTACTGATGACACCACATGGGATGGTTGCCACACTGACAAGGTGCACAACATCACACACTAGGCACCACTTTCATTGCAGTTTTATGATCTGTCCTGACCAACCATTGTTTGGACTTGAGTTCAAACTAAATGCTGGCAAAATGCAGATAAAATACTGTTGAAACTATGGTAGTGTCAGGAAGACTTACCTGATGATGTACTTTGTCCACAGATTTCAGGGATGAAAAATTTGTTGCTGTCTATTTCTGACTGGATGAGGGGCACAGCATAGTTGGCCATGGTCATGGTGGCTTCATCAACCTTTTTCTCTTGAAAAGACCCCAGTCCAGAGCACCTGCACACCTGTCAGGCAGCTGTGTTATGATAACCAAAACATGCTGAATGAAATATCATACACTGAAAAATTTAATGCTAACACCAGCAGCCTAAAATATTCATTATCCTTACCATGCACTCCAGCATTGTATTTGGTGACTTTGGCAACAAGACCACAGAAACTTCATTTTGAATGGCCATTATACACTGCATTTTTAATATAAAACAGTCCCAGTTGGTCATAATATAATCTAGAAACCTTACCTGAACAATCAGTGCAAGAATAATGATCTTCATGCTGCTGATAATCTTGAAGTTCTGAAATGCAGCACTTGATACATTAGTTGTGTTATTAAAAAACTTTCTTCAAAAAGGAATAATTAAGCTAGCTGACAACTTAAGTGTAGAGCTTCAAGAAATATGTTTGTGTCCAGGGAGAAAACATAATCTGGGAAAAGCCCCAATTAACAAGGGTTAGTGGTTGGTCCAACAACCCAGCACACCTTTGATAATGCCTTCCAGATTGCCAACACTACAAATGATGTCCAACATGTCTGGCATAGCAGCAACCTTGCTGCAAAAATTCAACACAAGTACTATGTAAACCTGAGAACTCAGAGTGTGGTGCAGAGTTGCCACCAGCTTCAACACATAGAGAGCCAATGCTCCAGGCAGTTATGATGTTGCCAATCTAATGTCAGGTTAGAGACTTCTCCATAAAACTTTCTCACCAAAAAATAAAATGTTGTGCAATCTGGACCGTCCTTATTTAAGTCCCATTGAGTGTCTGGCACAGCAGATGGAAGACATTGCAGACTGGGTACTCTTCTTTCTGGCCCAGATTGAGAAACACACATCTGGCTCTACAGCTAAGCACCTGAAGATAATACAAAATAACAATACACGACATGCAGCAAAGTGTCACCACCTAGATGAAAATTGGCAATCGACACAGCTGACGAACGACCATGGCCACACAAAGTCTGGGCAAACAGGTACCCATTCAAATTGAGAGTACATGCAACTTGCCACCTAGCTCACACAATCACTCACCTTGGCTTCAAAACCGGCCTTAAACGCACTGACACGTTGCGAAATCCTCGGATCTCCAACTCCCAGCACCCCACACACTGGCGAACCTGCCAGTCTCTGAAATCAACACACCGAGTGCTGGAAATAAATACGGGCTATGGCAGGTGCTCGAAGCCTGCCCGCGGCAAGCACGAACGCAGGGCCGTGTACATAAATAGCGCTATTCTCGCGCTGTCATTGGTCCACACAGACCTACGCGTTTGGATTGGTTTAAAAAATGGCATGCTAGCCTCGGATACTTGGGCATGCAGCAGCGTCACCTAGTGAGCATTTTCTAATCCTATGGCAAAAATATGTTTGTCTGTTATTTCAAAATGATCCCATTTTAGTCCAACATCTCATTTCAAACATCAAGCTTCAATATTTTTTAAAATGTTTTCTATTCCCATATATGGTCCTCATGTTTATCATGACAAAAGGACCTCGTCATGACGGCATATCCCACGATCTAGAGACGTTTCAGTCGTTGCTGTGGTTTTTGGCAAGAGCTTTGGGTATGTTTTCGTTTCCAGTGCAATTTATTTGATGTGTTTCCGTTGGTATCGGTTGTACTTCATTTAATCATTTCGAACGCGTCATTGAATCCCTCCCTTTATAGCGTGGACACTCCCATACAGCCTTGGGATCAGTCTCCAAAATCCCCTTGAAAGCATAATGTTCACTTTTCGGAGTGTTTGAGATGCTGAGGTGCAAAATCAGTGTACATCTGGCATTGGCACGAGTTTTCTGTTGTCTCCTCAGTTTCTGGGATATTAATTTCCTCAGGTTACCACGAAAGCTATGTAATGATGAGCCCAAAAACTCACTGTGGTTTAGGCACAAACCAACATGGAGTGGGGTTAAGGCAAACAGAAATGTTCAGTGGGCTTTTATTTGTTTTGGGGTGTGAGCTGAACTAAGCATTTTCATGATCAAAGACTTGAAATTATTGTGCTTCTCATCTTGATGCACATGAACTTGTGTGGTCTATATGCACTACCTGCAGGAATGTGACCTAGACATGTTGGGCATCAAAGATATGACAGGTGAACACCCCACAACATTGACTGTTTTGTGCTCATGGTCAAGAAAAACACTGGCAACATAGACATTTGTATACAAGGTGATGCAGCTTCAGCTTTAGAAAGCAATTGGTTAACAGCGGGCATGTACCCCGGGCCTTGACAAGGGAAGGTTGCAGAGTTGACAAAGGGCTCCGTAATTGTAAAAGGGCCCCCAAAAATTGTTGGTTATTCCTATTTATGAATGAGGGCATTTTTTCTTTGATTTTTTCACTTTTATCCTCTTTTACCATATTCTCTGTTACTGGAATAGGGTCAGAAGCTACTGTAAGCTTGATTCTCTCTAAACTTTACAGTCAATCAACTGAAGAAACCACACATCAAATGACTGCATGCAATATATCAGTGGTGCTTTTCTTTCCACAATGGTCCAGTGGACTCTTTGTAAACCCGTAGAACTCAAAAACTTGGTCAGAATTCTTACCTGGACCACACAGAGTTATTTAGGACCCTGCAGATGTAGATCAAAGTGGGTCAACAGCTGTGTCAATGTGACCAAATCATGTTTGTCTGGAAATGCTTGACACTCAGTCAGAGCTGATAAATTATGTGAATTCTACAATGTAGCTTTGGGCACGCACGTTCACAGATATTCGAAACAAAACCTCGATGCCGGGCGTTGCAGTCTCCTAAGGCCGTGCAGTGTCACCCCTGTGATTAACACTAAACTGTGACCAACGGGTGGGTGATAATGATGACGCACTTGAAAGAAGTAACTTTGAATGTCTCAATACATCGAACTGAACATTTTGAAGGCAGCCAGCATATATTTGCCTCCTGCGATCTTAAGGTTGTGAATTGAAGCGGATTGGCCTTTACAGCACGGCAAAGTGGTGCTGGAATCGGTTGATGTAACTGGAAGACTATAGGTAGAACCTCTATTTTTCGTGTTGCTGTGACTTTTAGTTTCCCCAGAGGACAGCCTCAAAGTTGTAAATACAAGGTACGCCGAGTGTAGTTTTTGAATGGTGTGAATTAATTTTGGAACACATTCAGAAGCATTATTCGACGACGGTCGCTTTCGCGAGCACGGCACCTGCCGCATGGTGCTACTTGCAGTGGCCAACGCGGTTCGGTTTTACGAAATCTGCAACCTGGGCCATCGCTGTTCTTGCCTCCTACATTGCGGGCGTGCAGGCTTAAACCTGTTTCACTAGTCCATTCTGCAAAAGAATAAATGTTCTCAGGCAAACATGAGGTGGTCTCATTCGTTTTATACCTCATTGAGATACACTGTATTGAAATTAAGGAGACCCCTTCCTTCTTTCAGTAAAAGCAGACCCCTTTGGTAGAACAAAATGGTCACATTGTTACCAGTCAAGGGCTGAAGGGCCATTCCGTCCCACCGTGGTGTGTCTTTCGTGCTGCCATTCTGACGACACGGAGCCTGGCTGATCCGGGGACCCTTAGAGGGATACATCATGTCACATTGGTTCCTTTACTGACGCGGGAGGCCTTCTGAACCCCGCAGTTGAACCCGGATGGATGCAGAAATCCTCATTAATGCAATAGCACTCCTGATCGCCGTAGGTGGTCCAATTATTGACGCATAGACTCCATTTCGGCTTAACAGGTCCATGCTGGCATTTGATTGGATGGCCCATCGCTTGGTACGGGGTGCCCTGACTGGCACGGGGCCCTTCTATTGCCTCAGTGTGAACAATCATCATGAGTCCTCATGTTCCTTCTTCAGTGTCAGAAGGCCCCGACGACCGCAAGATGCCCTCCGTCATTTGGGGTCCAGTTCCCTTTCCTGTCGAGAAAATCTCCCCCTGACCGATTCGAGGCACGTTGTTGACGCAGAATACTCCGTTAGGTACCGTGGGCTTCTGTACGATACAGAAGCCCCGCATTGTTGCAGAGCACCTGACCAATGTAAATCACGTGCCCGGCCGTGTTCCTCGGGAAATGGGCCTCTATAGCCCGGACCGACATGGAGCCGGGTTTTCGGTGTTGGTGATCTCTGGCCGAAATAGAGGGAGGCTCTGTTTCAGGGGTCCCAAATAATGCAAGAGGCTCTCTCATGGGCATCTGAGGTCACGGCTGTATGGGTGGGGGATCCTTAATGTAACCTACAGTCAGCCTTTTGGGCCGTTCAGCGTTCCAATCGGGCCCTTGATCTTTGGTTTCAAGAAACCCTTCGGGCTCCAAACACGGCTCCTGACCGACTCGGCTACTTGCCGCCATGGGACCCCTGTTAGGCACTGTGCTCGCTGACTGACACAGGAGCCCCTCTGTGTCAGGGACCTCGAACATTACAAACTGCGGGCCCCGGCCTCATTCCTGCTGGAGAAATGGGTCTCAAGGGCTCAGACGGACGTGGAGCCCACTGTTTGGCTCCCTATCGAGACCCCATCTAATAGGGATAGAGGACCCTAATAAGCAGGTCCTAATATAAGCCCTCTGACTGACATGTCAGGTCACGACACCACGGATGGGGACCAGACACAAGTCCAATGGGCCCTTGATCTTTGGTCCCGGGGCCCTCTGGCACCTCTTCGGCGGACCTCCTCAAAAAGAGCCTGTGACCGACTAAGGGGGGGGGGGGGGCACTAGCCGAGACATGACCCCCCTGTTCTGCACTGTGGGCCCCTGACCGATACATGTGCTCAACCACTTCCAGGGACCCAGATCAATGCAAATCGTGGTCCCTGGTGCTGCTCCTGCTCGAGAAATGGGGCCCATCAGATCGGGGCCCGGGACCGGGACTAACAGGAAGCCAACCGTTTGGTGTTCGTCGTCTCTGGCCGACTTAGACACCTGCATCGTCTCAGGGGGTCCTGAAATGGTTTAACAGGACCTCTGACTGATATCTCAGGTCGTGACTCTACGCGCCGCGATTCTTCGTGTGACCTTCAGTCAGTCCTTCGGGCCCTGATGCCCTCCAACCGGGCGTTTGGTAGTCGATTCCGTTGGGCCGCCCGGGCCCCTCTGTGGGCTTCATCAAACACTGCTCTTGGTCGGCTCGGGGTCCCTTGTGAGCGCTCTTGGTCGGCTTGGGGTCCCTTGTGAGCGCAGGACCCTCTGCTAGGCGCTATGGACCTCCGACAGATACAGGGCTCCCGACCAGTGTAAATCACTGGCCTCGGCTTTGTAGCTGATTGGAAAGTGGACCCATGCCTGACCAACATGACCTTATTATCATTTGAGGGTTCGTCCCCGCAGACTGGGGACGGACCCGGAATAAAACCCCGACCAATTCTTCGTGCCCTTAGACCTTATAATGGAGTCCTTGATCGTCGGACCCAATGCGGCCTCCAGGCTCTTCGGACCTCCTCGAACGCTTCTAGTGGCCGGCTTGGCGGCCCCTTGCCTGTTAGGCGTTGTGGGGCCCCGAACAATATAAACCGCTGACTTTGGCTCTGTCCGTGCTTTGGAAATGGGCCCTTAGGCCTCTGTCGCCACGGGGCCGACTGTGCCTTATTGGTGGTGCCTGACTGACGTATAGGTCCCTATGGACTCGGGGCCCTGATCAGCGCGCGGGCCCTCTGTTTGACATTGGAGTTTCCGGCTCTGCGGGCCGAGACCTCCGAATAGGACCCCTAACTGGCCTTTTGGACCTTTCGGGCTTTCAAATCGGGCCCCCTATTGTAGGCGCTGAGTGGCCCCTCGGCCCTCTTGGAACGGGGGGGGAGGGGAAGTACGTGCCCCCTTTGCCTCCCTCCCCTTGGCCTGCGTTACTGATTGACCGTCAGATTTTACTGGTGATGGTATGTCATGTCAATGATACGTGGTTTCCTTCTTTTTCTACGTTTATGTGAAAATGTAACACATTCCTGATGTTATGCGTACTTTCATGAACAGGTACTTCCTAAGTAATACCATGGTGTAAAGTGACTGGAATTCATTTGTTGTTGTTTCTTGCTTTAGGCTTATAATTCAAAGGAGCATGGCATACCAACAAACGCCGTCAATAGCCTGAAACCAGTTCTGTTTGGTGAAGGATTTAATGCAGCATCTCTAGAAGGAAAGTCAGCCAAGAATGTTAAGGATGGCCTTCCTGATAAGGAGAAAGCTGGGGCTTCCACCAAAGCCATTATCCTCGGAGATTCTCACCGCGCATCTTCTTCAGAGAGACAAGCCGGAGTGGACATCGTTCTTTGTTAGGTACAG